AGCATAGGAGGCTCAAGCTGAAGATGAGGAACTGTGAGGATGCCAGAGCCCTGGACCAGGCTGCCCAGAGAGATTGTGGAGTCTCCTTCTCTGGAGACATTCAAAACCCACGTGGACGCCTTCCTGTGTGACTACTCTGGTGATCCTGCTCTGGCAGGGGTTGGACTGGGTGATCTTTCGAGGTCCCTTCCAACTCCTAATATTGTGTAATTCTGTGTCTGTAGAAGGGACAGATACGAACTGCGTTTATGGTCAGAGAGCTGATCAAACTTAGTCTTTTTAGTCTTGCAGTAGCGTTCCACAGTAACACATAACAGTTTTTTCTGATGGGACTTCTCTCTCCTGCTCTGCTCCAAGGGTGACTCGTAAGAAGTGTCCAGACCTAGACTATTTTGTTGTGTTCTCCTCTGTAAGTTGTGGAAGAGGAAATGCTGGGCAAAGCAATTATGGCTTTGCCAATTCTACCATGGAGCGTATCTGTGAGCAACGACATCATGATGGACTCCCAGGTAAGCTGACTTTACTCATTGTGCAGAATAATCTATCCCACTAAACATTCAGGGGAGAACCAGCTCTCCAGACACTTGTGCACTTATCTGGAATGATAATGAGTGTTGAAGGCTGTTTCTTCTCCTAGCTGTTACCCAGAGTAACAGCTGACCATTTTGCAGTACAAAGGAAATGCAGGCCCTTACTTAACTGTTTGTTGGGTTTTTTTTTAACTCCTTTTTGTTGCTGCCATGTGCTTTAGTTAGTTGTCTAGTGTGCTCTTTCTTCCAAATTCTCCTCCAGGCCTGGCAATCCAGTGGGGAGCCATTGGCGATGTGGGTATCCTTCTGAAGACAATGGGGAACAGAGAGGTTGTGGTTGGGGGAACCATTCCCCAGCAAATCAGCTCATGCCTGGAGGTGCTCGATATCTTCCTGAATCAGCCTCACCCTGTCATGTCCAGTTTTGTCCTGGCAGAGAAGATCTCTGTGAAAACTGAAGGTGGCACTCAACGGGACCTTGTAGAAGCTGTTGCTCACATCCTGGGTAGGTTCTCTCAGACAGGCACTGTTGGTATCTCCTCCTGGTTGCTGTGGTGGTGGGTGTGGTGTCGCTGTTGTGGGACTGTTTGTTTGGTTTTTACTTTACACTGCCTCTCTTCTCTCCAATAATCGATTTGTTTCTTCAGTGTGGACTTTTGGGTTTTTTTTGGCGTGTTTGCATACATGTGCTTACGTACTTCAGTGTCTTGGGTTTTGTTTAGAGTGGACTGGTGCTTTTCTCCAAATAGAGAATGAACAGGAACAGCCCCCAAGAACAAAATTCTGGGACAGCATGTAACAGGGCAAATATATTACTAACTGAGTACCATTCCATCTTTCAAACATTCATCTTGAGGTGTCCCCATGCCACAGAAAGGAGCTTGTATGTACTTAGTGGCTAACTGGTAGTGTATTCTCTTATCAGCTCTGTCTGTCATCCCATGTGAACATATAATAACAGCAGGCTAAGTATGCTTTACAGGAAGTGGCATGTCCTCCTGTCTGTTTTGAACCTGCTTCCTTTTACCATTGTGTCCCCTATTCTTGTGTTGGAAGTGGATAATCCCTGTCAACTCTACTGTGTCCCCCTTCAGCTGTGTCTTGTGCAGACAGTAGTGTGTACTGATCCTTTGTTTTCTACCAGAAGAGGTACTGATAAATTAAGGACATTCTCCTGAGTATTAACTGAGGAAATGCAGGAAGTAACTGACAGCAAGTCTGACCTCGGAGAACATTGGCTTTTAAAGTCACAGGAAAGTGTCTGGGAAATTGTACCAGCTGTAGGATTAGTTTGGAAGGAGAGAGTGTGTGAAGACAACAGTGGGAGAAGCTAGGAAGCCTGATGGTGGGAAGGGTGGCAACATGGGGCAGCACAGGTTGGAGAAGGGAAGGAAGAGCCGTAGACGCAAATGTTGTTATGAGAAGCCTTTTACAGGTAAGGAAAGGGTGAGAGAATTTATCAGTCCTCAAATTGAAGGGAGAGAGGTGATGAAAGCTACAGGAATAACTTCCTCCTCCAGTGCGACAGGCATAAAGTGTTGCAACCAACCATCAGTGACACTGATAACTGTTTCATCTGGGTTTGTAGCTGAGGATTAGTTGCGTTGGGTCTAGGACTGCAGTTTCAGTTAGAGCCTCCAGTATGTGAAATTACTCTAGCTGACTTTTCTGAACTTCGTCTGGAGCTGAAGTGACAGCTCTGTAGCTGGGACCGGTGTATTTCCCGTCATAAAGCTGTGCTCATTTAATGTGAACTCTAAAGACTACATCCCATATGACCACATGTGGGTTGTAGAAGAGGTGACTTGTGAAAGCATTAGATGGTCCTGAAAGGTAATTCTCTGTAGCTGGTGTTTATTCGAGTTTTAGGGGAAAGAAAAAAGCTGAGAAGACTGCTAGATAGGCCTAGAGCTGAAAAGAAATCAGCCTTTTGTTATTGTGCTGATTTGCTTTGGATTTTTTTTTTCCTCAGGTGTCCGTGATGTGAATAGTCTGAATGCTGAGAGTTCCTTGGCCGACTTGGGCTTGGATTCCTTGATGGGTGTGGAGGTGCGCCAGACGCTGGAGAGAGACTACGACATCGTTATGACCATGAGAGAAATTAGACTCCTTACAATCAACAAACTGCGTGAACTTTCTTCCAAGTCCGGGACAGCAGAGGGTATAGTGTCTTGGATCAGGATTGCTACCGGTCACCTGAGTCCAAACAACTAAACTCCCAACCCATTGCTTCCATCTCTAGTCACATAAGCCTCTCTGAAATAATGAAATAAGATCAGGAAATGGGTTTATAGCCAAAAGGCTTTTAAGTGACAGACCTGTCACTGAAGTGCATTGATTTTTGGGTCAGGCCCATCAGTTCTGGGGACAGGGTATAAGAAGGAGCGAGTGTGAAACCCTCTTCTTTGCCTGGCTACTATCTGCCTGTGTGAGTACTCTTATGCAGATGTGTGCAGGATGTAACTTGAGGCCTTTTACCTGTTTGAAGTATAAGCCATGTGATGTCATGCTTACCGTAAGGTAAAATTATATGTAGGTGCTGCAGAGCAGCTGATAACAGGGTAGATCTCTGTGCTTGTGCCCTGATGATTTAGTGAGCCAACAGGCTAATCCAGAGCAGCTCTGGGATTCTCCTTTAGGATTATGGTTACGTGACTAAGACTGTTCCTGAATCTAACTGTTTGTCTTGCGTGCTTCCCTTTTAAAGAGCTGAAGCCATCCCAACTGATGAAGACAGGCCCAGGCGAACCGCCGAAGCTCGATTTGAACAACTTGTTGGTGAACCCTGAAGGGCCAACGATCACCCGTCTCAATGATGTTCAGAGCACAGAACGTCCTCTTTTCCTTGTTCACCCCATCGAAGGATCCATTGCAGTTTTCAATACTCTCTCCTCTAGACTTCATATGCCCTGCTATGGGCTCCAGTGCACAAAAGGTATCTCAGTTCTTCAGCATCTTGTACAAATAACATTCAGAACTTCAGTTACCTTAGAGAGAGCGCTTTGTTTCTAGACTCTTAAACTTTGAGGATCAAGCATCAGTGTCTGTAGTCTGCATAGGGTTGTGTCAGACATCCCCAGGTAACAACAGAAGTACTAGGTTAGGTAGAAGGGAAGTGGAACAACTGGATGTTGCGTTGAGTCCCTGCCAGCAGATAAGCATGCAGGAGGAAAACAAGGCGTGCTGTTCTACCTGTCTTTGGAAAGCAGCAACATTACTGTTCGTTGTCCAAAATGTAAGTTGCTAACAGTAATTTAGAAATGTACGTTCAGAATAGCCTGCATGTTTCCAGTAGGGTTGTTTCTGAGCTTGTGAAAACACAGTTGTCTCTGCCAGGGTCTTTTCACTGGAGTCTGTTTTGCTTCCGTGTTCTAGCTGCTCCCTTGGACAGCATACAGAGCCTGGCAGCCTATTATGTTGACTGTATGAAGCAGATCCAGCCTGAAGGACCTTACCGCATTGCTGGATATTCTTTTGGTGCTTGTGTAGCCTTTGAAATGTGCTCCCAACTGCAAGCACAACCAAATGCTTCCCTTCTCAACAGCCTATTTCTCTTTGATGGGTCTCATTCATTTGTGGCAGCATACACTCAGGTAAGAGATAAAAAGAAAATCTTCTGTCTGGGGACCATCCCTTGTTTTCAGGGCTTATGTTCTGGGAGCTTACTATTCTAGGTATGAGCCATCTGAAAAGCCAACAGACTTTTCTTGGTATAGGGGAGTTAGGACGCAGCTATAGACGGTGGATGCTTCGGGATGGCTGAAGGGTGGAAGCTTGCAGGGGGTTGGTAAGGGCTGGGACACAAATGTTGCTCCTTCTGTCATAAATAATAATATTAGTATGTCTTCTGGAAGATCTCGGAGCCTGTAAGACAAGATCCTTGTGTAGGGATGCCACAAAACCTTGCTTAAGCCGCCTTTGCCATTTTCATTGCACTTTCTAGAGGATACTAGGCTCTTGGTAATTGCCACCTGTGGATTTGCTTTGTAATCTGTCCTCAAGGAAAATTCCTCTCCCACTCCAAGCTTTCAGTCTGTCCGCTTTTCTTTCCTTTTTCCACCCTTCCTTTTTCCCATTTCAAAGCCCTTTGTTCTGTAACTGGTTTTTATCTAACATTCAAGATGAGGCATATCCCTCTCATGTTTGCATTTTTTTATTCTCTTTTACAGAGCTATAGAGCCAAGCTGACCCAAGGAAATGAGGCTGCGTTGGAGACTGAAGCATTGTGTGCCTTTGTTCAGCAATTCACAGGCATTGAATACAATAAGGTAATGTTTTTGGGGCTTTTTTTCTTTGTTTTGTTTTTGTTTGTTTTTCATATCTCTTTGGGTTGCACAAGAGCGGTGTGGGTTTTTTGTTTAATGGAGACAGATTCTTAGATATTGAGACTAATGGGAAAAATGTTAATATTTCCAGCTGCTGGACATTCTTCTGCCCCTGAAAGATCTGGAGGCTCGTGTGAATGCCGCTGCAGACCTGATAACTCAGATTCATACAGACATCAATCGTGAAGCACTTAGCTTTGCTGCTGCTTCCTTTTACCATAAACTGAAGGCTGCTGACAAGTACATACCAGAGTCCAAGTATCATGGGAATGTGACGCTGATGCGAGCAAAGTCCCACAATGAATATGAAGAAGGTCTGGGTGGAGACTACAGGCTCTCAGAGGTCAGTCTGAGGCCCACTGGTGACTGTTGAGGTTTCCCTAATATTTGGGGGAGCAAAAGAAAAGCATGGGAAATCACCCTTACTGAGGGAGAAGGGACAAAACCAACCTGAAGTAAATTATCATTCTGCAGCTATTTTGCTCTAACAAGAATTGGAAGTCCCCAAAAGCAAATGAGTTGATTGGTTCCTGGAATTTTCTCAGGGTAGTGAGGGCCAGGAGTAGGTCTAGTCTCTAACTGGATAAGTAATTGTTTTCTGTAGCTAATTCCTGCAGCTCTCTAGATAGACTTCAGATAATAAAGGTGCTAAAAGAGAGTAACTTGACAAAAGCAGCTTTCAGTCTTCTTTCACTGTAAGACCCCTAAAGTTTGTCCACTGCATTAGGGCAGACTTTTGAAGAGCAAGTGTCAGCCTTCTGACAGTAGAGGCGGCTTTTTCTTAGTTGCCTTTTGTGGACCACTTAGGAGTTAGTATGTGGGTTTCTTGTGGGCCTGTAGTCCAGATAAGGTCACTGTGTTAATGTAAAAAGGCAAAGTGTGTTACATTATGGAACAAATACCAGGCAAAAGGAAGTGATTTCCAAAACTACCTTCCTGCTTCTGGCATCTCCTGTCCCTTCAGACTTAAAACTTTTATCCATTATTGATTCCAGGCTAACTTACATGTTATTAAAGTTACACGATGACCTTAAAGGAAGATTGGTGGTGGTGGGAGAAAGATTAGGTAGAGAGGAGGGTTATTTGGTTTTCTTAAGTGCTTGGAAGTAGCTGCTTTATTATTCATTCTTTGATATAGTAGGCAAATTATTCTGTTAATATGAGGTTGGTTGGCTTCCTGCCCAGCTTATACTTGAGTGAATCACCTGGCAGGCTGTCAAACTATTGTGCATTAAAACACTGTTCCAAACGATGCCCTGCAGCTGATCTATGAAAATATGTCAGAGTAGAACTGGTGCTGTTTTCAACAGTGTTTGAGAGACAGTGGTGTAAACTATGAATAGCCTAGAAGACTGACCAACCCCAAACAGCTCGATAACCAGTTGGATGTGAATTGTGAATGTAAAGTTTTGTTGTTTTTGTTTTGTTTTGTTTTAATTTTGTGCAGGTATGTGATGGGAAAGTATCTGTCCATATTATTGAAGGGGATCACCGCACCTTATTGGAGGGAGATGGCGTCGAATCAATTATTGGGATCATCCACAGCTCACTGGCAGAGCCGCGTGTCAGTGTCAGAGAGGGTTAACTGCTTCTGCTTACTTTCTGTCAATGGTGAAGAAAATGCCAACAACATTCCTTGTTATGACAGACCCCAAGGAACCGTTCCTGTTGTTCAGCATCTCATCTCCTCTGCTGCCAGAACTGGGAAGTCCAGCTGAACTTGATTCGTCATCTTCTCTTTCTTGCTCATCTTCTCCTTTCCCAATTTTTATGGGTTCTTCTTCCCTTCCTGTGCTTTGTTTTCCCTGAGTATCCCAGTCCATGTCACTTAAGTGCTGTGACTTTGTCACTGTGCACTGCTATGAGGGTTCCCCACCGATGGTTGCTTCCTACATCCTTGGCAGTATGAAAAACAAATCTAGGAGTAGAATTCTTGTGCTCTATATTGTTTTGTCTTAACAGTATTCCAAAGGGTATGTGATAGCACTTGTGACCAAGCCCAGTGAGCAGGGAGAGGAGCTGCAGCTGATTTCGGAGATGCCTTTCGTCTGTGAAGAATCTGTCTGTAGTTAGGTCTGAAAGAGAATTCCATTGAGGCTTTTGTAACTATATTTTTTTAATTTGATATATTCTAAGTATTTATTATGTCAAACCACAGAATTCTTACTTGGTTTTAATTTATCGTGGGTTATAGGAGAAAAGAAACATCGCTTTTTGGAGGGGAAGGTTTATTCTACAAGGGGAAATTGCCCATTCGTTCAACCGAAGTCCATCTTTGGAACAGTCTGGTTTCTTCTGTTGTGGGTTTTTTTTTTTCGGGGGGAGGGGGTGGTTTTATTGGTTGGTTGTTTTTTTTTTTTTCCCCCCTTTTTCTCCCCCTACCTTGTTCAGAAAAGTAGAAGCGGGGGTTCTTGCCATCGTCCACTCTTTTGAGGAGAGAGGGGGTAGATGGTTTGACAGATGCCAGCGTGTATTGAACAGCCTTACCATGGGCGTGATAAAAATAGGCAAAGCTGTCCCTAGGCAGGTCTGTCCCTAGGCAGGTGCTTTGCTTATATTTGTGAGGTTCTGTGCTCTGCTGTATCAGAACCTTAGTGAAGCATTAAGACTACTGCTTTACCTTACGCCCTCCCACCTCCAGCCTCGCCACCTAACCAGACATTTGGAATGGGGTTGGGGAAATAGAATTCCTCAATGGTAACTGAACAAATTCTCCTCCCCGTGCTTTCCCGTAACCAAAGGTCAGGCAAACATACAAGCATCTACGCAAAGTCCCTGCATATTGTATGAGCCACAGGGCTTGCCTAAGCCTTGTGTATTCATTGTCCTCTCAGTAATGAGACTGGAAATCCCACATAAGTTAGCTAAGTTATTGGTTTGATGGTATGATTTTAAGATATAGTACCTTTTTAAAGGAAACTTGCATAAAATACAATTTAAAAAAATTCTTGTCTTTGCTGTGCTGGATCTGTCCTTTCTGAAATCAGTAAATCCTTGCTACACTTATGATACAGAGGAGACCTGGGTAGCAACAAGGCACCAACTAGGAGGAGCTATTGTGCCTCTCAGAACTGCTGTGAAACCCTAGTTCTCTCCACCTTCACCCCCCAGTGGAGTATCCTGTCAGTATAGGAGCATTCCAGTGACAGGAATGGGTGACTCTTTGCTGCAGGTTCTGACCTGGTGTCTTTTGCTTATACCATCCTCCGTTGATTGTGGCTGGGTTAGCTGGTTTTAGTTTTATAAAGTATTTCTTTCGTGAAATCTGAAATAAAACCAACATGATGTCAGTTTAAATAATTTCCAAAATAAGTCTTGTTCTTTTTTCTGTTTTTCTTTTCTTTCTTTCTACCATCCTTTCTTTCTTTCTACCATCCTTTCTTTCTTTCTACCATCCTTTCTTTCTTTCTACCATCCTTTCTTTCTTTCTACCATCCTTTCTTTCTTTCTACCATCCTTTCTTTCTTTCTACCATCTTTTTTTTTTTAAATTTTAAATTTTTAATACTTTTTGATCTGAAGACTGTCTCTTTTACTTTGGCTTTCCTAGAATTAAACAGAATTGATCACTGGTTGGCTTTTTGTCTTATTCTCTACCACCATTTCATCCTGTGTTCTATCTGGAATCTCTCTTTGCTTGGTATAAAGCAAAAACTGTTGCTGGCATATCTGATATGGAGTCTGTAGAAATAGTAACAATAATAAAGAAGACTTATTCTGGAGCATGGCTTCTTGTTGCCATGATTTTAGTACCTGAGATACAACCAAACCACACACTCACAAGATGGAAGCAGAAACTTAAAAATCTAATTCTGGCTCCATTGTTCTGGTTTTGGACAAAATGGGATTAATAGCATCTACCTCAAGGTTGCTGAGAGTGGTAGATAGGCAATGGGTATAAATGCTGTTAAGTTACCAGGTATGATGACTACATTTTCAGTGGTAATGAAAGGAGGGAAGCAGGCACTATGGGAAGGTGAGGTGCCTTACAGCTATAAAGAATCTCGTACTGAAAAGTTACTATGTATGTACTGCATACTATCCATGCATGTCCTAGCATAGGATACTACAGAAAACAAAACAAATGTGGACTGGTTGGTTTTAAATTTTAACTACTGCCAGTTGCAGTGAGCCTGAAAAAAAAAGGAGTTGAAAACAATCCTACTTGCCTTGGTTGTACTGAAAATGGAAAGAAAAAGAAAGGAGTGATTAAACAAACAGGTGTAATAGTTCTGTGCTAAACTGTTAACGAGTCTGAATGGGCCATGTGGAGGGAGCAAGGACTAATGCTGTTCCAGGAGTTGGACAAGTTTTCTGTATAAAAATTAAATGTATGTGGTCTCATCTAAGGAAAGCTTTAAGATACTGGTTTAGTAATACAAGTTCCTCCAGAATTACTTAGAGCCTATATGCTCTCAATGTTCTTGTGGGTGTTACTTGAAAAGCAGAAGGTTGTTTTGGTTCTTGTTTTTGAGGCAGGTCCCCTTAACTGTCCAAGCCTGAGCTGCTGCTCTGTAACCCATGATGTAACTGGCTGCTGAATACAGTGTGCCAAAAATAAAAACGTTATTAGCACTGGTACTGCTTCTTGTTTCTCAGTAGTCTGTCAGATAGACGTAGGTAGGATAATAATGTCATCATGCAAAATCAAATACTGCAGTTGCTTGTTTTGGGAAGATGAGGGCAGAAGCGAAGTTTTTCGTTTCTGCCTTTCTGCGTGAAATGGAAGTGAGAGTCTCTTGTGAACTGTCATCCTTTTCAGCTAGCTTCTCACAGGCTTCTCTACACCATGGTGGTCTTGATCTTGAGACTGAAAAACAGACTCCCCTGTTGGCCCTATAAACTTCTACTAGGCTCACAAACTCACATTGCTATTCTGAAATGGTAGGCAGTATATAATGTATTTGTGATACAACATATGGCAGATAGCACATGTAGTTATCAGCATTAAAGCTATTATCTTCCTTTTCTATTCTACCACCTTTCTGAGGGGAAAGAAATAAGCCTCTCTTACCAAAGAGGATAGCTACCAAAAAAAAAATATGCAAGAAGCATTACAATTCAACAGAACTAGTGACTTTACTTCTGCTGTCTGGTATTGCAGTTGAGAGAGAAGCTTTCTGGTGCTGAGATGGAGATAAGAGTAAAACCCAAAAGATTTAAGGTAGAATAGTACTAAAGGAAGAAGGCATTTGTTTCTCTTGCAATTATTTACGTAACTGTAACTCAAACTCAGACACCTTGCCAGCAAATCTGGGCCGAAAGAAAGAAGAAAGTAACTCTGGAGCAGCTGCACAAGAGGAAATATGAGTGTTGAAGGAGGGTTGGAGAGGCTGGGTATTTAAGTAGCAGAACTTCTTGTTTAGGCTGATGGAAGATAATGAAAGATGGTGGAAAAGAATCAGAAAAGCTTGAAGCTTAGCTATTTCTTGCAGCAGAGTTCCTCACGGCCATGAGTGCTATAAAGTTGGGGAGGGGGAAAAACTGTAGGCTTTGACAGTGCACTTGAACTGTGAACGCTGTCACTGGGTGGGCTCTAACAGACTTACTGAACAATTGGACTACACATAGAAGCCTGCTTAGGCTCTGGTGTTTTGTTGTTGTATATAATGATTTTTTTTCTGTTTTGAAGAAAAAATGCCTAAAGCATTAGGCCTAATGTTACATTTATGTTTTGACTAGAGTAGTCATGCAGCATTCCTGATGTTCTGGAAGGTACTGGCAGATGAGGAAATGAAATCCTCTGCTGTGCTTATCCCAGTGGTAGGCAGTAGCTTAATAAAATGCTGCAGACTGAATGGGTTTGTCATGTATGCTATTTTTTGTTCAGCCAGGTGGATCATTTCCACTTGTCACCAAGAACCAGTGAGGCCTCCTCACTTTGTCAAGTTCTTGTAATTCTCAATAACTGTCTCTCCTTGGCATATACTGCAGAGGCCGAGGTGCAAAACCCAAAATACTTCTCGGGCCTTCTGCACTCGAGCCAGGGGAG